AAGATAATCATTCATCACAGCATGTTCCGTAATGTTTCTTGGCTGTCAATAATTACCCATGAGACTGTGTAGTTGTTAATAATGTTTTTAGAATTGCCTATTTCTTGATTAGATTAAGCAGTCAATTAGCATCTTAGTGTGATTTTACACAACTACACGTGCAATCATGTTCTCTTCATTTCTTGACAGGATGGTGAAGTGGACGCTGAGGAGCTGCAGAGATGTTTGACACAGTCTGGAATTACTGAAACTTATTCTCGTGAGATCTTTTATTTCCCTCTCGTATAGAACTAAAATAAGAAATTCATTTTTTAATTTTTCTCTATACTTAAATTTTTTTTAAAAGAATTTCATGTGACATAATTCAAAGATTCAAATAGTTCAGTTGCCCGCTCTTGGTATTAACAGCTTGCAGTTGCTACCTCTTAGTGTGACCAGCTCAACTTTGGATTCTTTTGCTCAATTTGAGATAGGAAGCATGAAGAGGCAAGCAATACGCTCTAACCAAGGTTCTGTTGAGGCTGTGCTTGAGTGTAAGACAGGCAGTACACAGAGTGGGGCCTATTTTGGCTTTCTAAGGATGGACGGAGTAAAGCTTGAATGGGCAAGCTGATGAACTTGTGCAGGTGCACAGTCAGCGGTTGCACAGGGCTTCTGAGTGTGTCTTTTAGCTCTGCACTCACAGCACCTGGGTTTGCCCTTGAAGTGGAGATGTGCTTGAGTGCTTTGGCTCCATGTATGGTCGGTTAGCAGAAGGTAGGGGAAGTGCTCACTTGGCCACCCAAATGGCAGATTGAGCATGCTGGTCAGGTTCAAGAATACTGAGCCTGCCAAGGTGAGGGGAAGCTTGGAGAAGGAATCCAAAGCTCCTGAACCTGGACAGTGGTGGAGCCATCTTCCCAAGACCACTTATGTAGCAGAACATAACCGTGGCGGGGAATTAGAGCCTTCTGTAATCTGTGTCAGTCTTATAGAACTTATTATGCACGTAACTTCATTGCACATTCCTTGCTTCACAACACTAACCTGTCATAAAAAGAGTTCCTTTTTTGCTGACTTTTTTGAAATTTTCTTCCAGATCTCACGATACTGGGCCTTTAATACTACATACTTTCAGTTTAATGATCATCAGTTCGTATGAACGAGGACTAAACTCAACCTTAAAGTCATCTTGTCCTTGAAATCCACACAAGTCTTTGCATCTTCCCATCCTTCTGGTGCAGTTATATAATGACAGTATTAGGCCAATAATCAACACTTACCTTATTTTTACCATCTACATGCTGTTCTTAGCAGCGTCTTGTTACAAGGTATGAATACTTTTCCTTTTTAGATAACTTTTCACTTTCCATGAGATGAGTAGCTGTGGGGAATTCTGTCCTTCCCATCAATATCAGGCTTTCTGTGGTGCTGTTTTCTGTACACATTTGTCAAACTGGCATTCTTCACCATCATTCTGGAATTTTCTTTCCTCTCTGTGGAGCTGTCTTTTCCCTTTATCTTAAGTTGATGTCTCCTTTACTTCATCTGCTTTTTTTTGTTTTTTTTTGCTATTGGGGATCAGGCCCAGAGACACACTGCTCCCCACATCTTTTTATTTGAGACAGGGTCTTACCAAATTGCCCAAGGAGGACTCAAACTTCTGATCCTCTTTCCTCAGTCTCCCTCAGCTGCTGGTTTATGGGCCCCACCACTCACTAGCTATTGGCTTTTTTCTTTTAAAAACATTTAATCTGAAGTCATGGAGATAGGTGTCACCCCTACCCCCAGGGCAGGCTGAGATGGCCACAAAGAACAGATAAACAACAACAACAACAAAAATTCAGTCTCTTACTTCAATCAAATATTATGTCTTTTAAAAGCTTCTCAATAAAAGAGTGCATGACAGGCAGATTTTGAGCCCTGTTGTATCTGGGATTGCTTTCATTCTATCTTCAGAATTGTTTGAGCAGGTTTAAGAGTTTCAGGTTGCAAATCGTTTTCAGAGGCTCTTGAAAGAATCACTCTTGCTTTTAGCTTCCAGGGGTGGCTTTCCCTGTTTCCTTCCCATGTGTTATTTACTTTCCACCCAGGAAACTTGCAATACCCTCACTTTGCCGCAAGCACTCTGAAAGTTCACGTGATGCACCTCATTGTCTTAAGGGGATGCAGAGTATGCTCAGTTTGAGAACTTAATGTTCTTGGAAATATTTTTTCAATGATATTCTCTACTTTCTTTTTTAAATATCTGTCATTTGAACTGGACTGGGGTTTCTACCTTTTTTTTTTCTTTATTTCTTGCTATAATTTTTGGAAAATATCTTATTCTCTACTTCTTAAAATTTTCTTGAGTTTTCATTTACTCTTTTAGATTTTTTTTTTTTTTCTTTTGTAACAGGTATTGCACTCAGGACCTTGTGCTTGCCAGGCAGGCACTTCTGCTGCTGAACTACTAGGCCCTGCTTTTAGCTTTTTAAGAATGATGTTTTTCTGTGTGTTTTCTCCCTGAATGAGATAGCTTCTATTTATCTCTATGAAATATTTGATACACTTATTTTTTCTACATAACATTTCCTTCTTCAAAATTGTTTTTATCTTTCCAGTCTGTTTTATCTTTCATGCCTTTTCTGAAGTATCTGATGATATTTTGTTGGTGTATCTTACTACACACTGCCTACAGGGCCCATCACTGCCCCTCGGGTGGAGAGCTCACTGTGGCTCTACTAATTCAGGGTGTGCTTGTTTGGCTGAGCAGTTTTATTACAGAATGTGGGGTACACCCTTAGGGATTTTCTCCTGGGTTGTTTCTTTCGTTGCTCTGTGTGGACAGTGGGTTGTTCAGTACTGGTTGCCTTATTTTAACATATAGCTCAAGCAACTGTGCCCAGCATCCTGCAGTCCAGAGACGGCTCCTAATAATAAAGCTGCAGACTTGTGCTTGGGCGAGAGCAAGTGGGACTGCTAGCTGAGCAGAGGACTGGAGGCTCGAGGGCCATTAGATGCTCCCTAAATAGACATCATGCAGCTCTGTTTTTATCTCCACCTTCACACACATTTCAGAAGTACTGTTAATTCTTAGACATTTGGAGCTTCATCCAAGCTAACTAGGTTTCTTTTCAGCTTTTCTCATTATAAGCAAATATTAGTTAGCTCACATCTGTTGACTTTGTAACTTTTACTTTTATTTCTTTGTAAATTTTCTTTTTCTCTAAAGGTTTACGCTTTGTTGTATAATAAGTTGTTCGTTCAGGTGGGTTGGCTGGAAAGGCTGTGAAAATCTGTCAACTTTACTGTCTCTTTGTCAATATTTCTTTTTCATATATCCTATCCTACTCTGAAATTGAAGATATTCTTATCATTTTATTTTTCCACTTATGATAATCCATTTAGAGCTTACCATTTCATGACTGTGTGCTGAATTATTTTTAAAGTACAACAGATCATTTATTTTGTGAAAAGGTGGAATGACATTCCATAAATTTCTCAGGTAACACTAGTCCACCGAAAGCTTTTGTTTGAAAGTTATGTTGAGTCCCAGCCCTCATGTTCTCTTTTATTAGTTGTATGAACTTGGGAGACTATCTTGCTAGGTCACTATTTCTTAATTTGTAAAATTAGGGGCATCATTCATCTGACAAGATTATGCTCATAGAACACACACTGCTGGACTTGCTAAATAGTCAGCAAATTCCGTGTTGTATTTTAAGTCTCAAAATTGTGCTGTACACCCAGCAGTCCTACACCAGCATTGTATTAAATATTTAAAGAAAATCAGTTATTTTATTTTGTAGACTATTTTATAATTTTCACTAATGGGTCCAAAATTTTTTTACTTTTTTAATGGTTGATTTATTTTATTATTTTTTATTTTTTGGTGCAAGGTCTCACTATCTCACTAGTGAGCCTCCTGTCTTGGCCTACCTAGTGCTGGGATTACAGGCATGAGCCACCACACTTGGTTTTGGGCTGGCATACATGTGGTACTGGAGATCAAAGTTGAGACTTGCACTTGCTAGGTAGGCGCTTATGCAGCTGAGCTTCTCCCCAGCCCAGTGGGTCTAAAATTTAGCTGAAAGAATTTATTTTAGAAATTTCACATGCATTATCAATAGCATGAAATAAATGACATAATTTAAAATTTATTTATGTATTCATTCAGTCATCTTACTAATAAGAACTTTGCAAGCCTGACTGACCTATATGAATATAATATCTTTTCTTTTTTCTTTT